AGTGCATAGGTAGCTCAATGCCAAGGAAGAGATTATAATTTGTGTCTGCTGAGCCTGGCACTGTCTGATACATTCTCCGGGCTTCAGGATATCTATGGAAGTTAGATAATATCAAATTGGGTAACCCTGTCATGGACACTGCTTGCCAGAGTGATTAGTCTGTGGCTGATGACTCCTAGCTGTCAGCCTCAATGTTGCACTGTTCATCAGCGTCTCTGTGAAGTGTTTCTTTTGGCCTCATGTCCGGTTACTCACTTTCAGTTTTCTGTACAGCAACTCCTTTTGCATTCTGGTGTCAGCCATCCTCAACACCTGACCAGCCCAACCCAACCTAATTCTGATGCACTAAGCATGACTTCAATCCCTGTGTAGTGCCTACATTCAGAGCCTTATTATTGGTAACAAAAGGGATGCAATCTAGACGTATCCTAGAAGTTTAGTCTTATGCCTCTAGCAGATTCAGGTCTCACGTGCATACATGTTGGGCAGCACAGCCACTTTATAGACGTGGTTTGATTCTTAATACCATAATTTTGCTGCCAGATTTTGTCTGATAATCTGCCAAATAATGAACTCTGTTGATACTATAGACCAGGAGCTGACAAGTAATAATACACTACCAAAGTAGCAGAAGTAGCATTCAGCTGTGTATTGCTAATGGTGATATTTGGTTTTGTGAAGGGTTTCCTTGGAACAGGTTGATACCGTGACCTCTATCTTTTTCAGAATAATTGTCAGCCTGTATTTTTCTTCAGACTCTGCAAATCTATTCATAATCCATTGTGTATCTTTTAGAGTACATATGTCTACAGCATATGTAACCCACACATCTTGTGGGTGTATTGTTCTGCTCATATAGTGGAACTTAGGCTATGGCTACACTGTAGAGTTATATTGGAAAAAGATACGCAAATTGCAATTTGCGTATCTTTTTCCAATATAACTCTACAGTGTAGCCATAGCCTAAGTTCCACTATATGAGCAGAACAATACACCCACAAGATGTGTGGGTTACATATGCTGTAGACATATGTACTCTAAAAGATACACAATGGATTATGAATAGATAGCGGATGCATATCTTGGACACGGCAGAGCTTTTCTAGAATACTTACACTACTTACAGAGAAAGAATGAGCCTTAGCTGGCTCTAGTACAAGCAGAAGAGGCTCATGCACTAAATCTCCAAGGGTCCCAGGTTTGGTTCCACCTGCTGCCATTACACATAGCCACTGGCATATAGCAGGATATGAATAATTGTCATTAATACCTTTGTAAAAGAATGCAGCTTGTTCAGGTTCAATATTTTTTCAGAGGATTGGAAATTTCTCCTAATACTGGCTTTTAGGTCTCTTGTCTCATTATTGAGCATTGCTGAATAGAAGAGATTAAATAAGAGTGGGCCAATTATAAAGCCCTGCTTAATACCATTAGTAATAGGAAAAGAAGATCACCTACAAACTCATCCAAACATTCCATGATGAAAAAGCCTCAATGTTGGTGAATTTTTCTGAACAACCAAATGTATGTGATTAAGCAAACAAACAATCACCAAAGCTGACTGTGTCAAATGCTTTAGCTGGGTCAACAGAGATAGTGTAAATATCCTGTGGCCATTCCCTGCATTTCTCCTGCATCTGATGGTCTACAAATATCATGTCTTCCATTCTATGTGTTGGCCTAAAACCACGTTGTGACTCTAGTGGCATATGATTAGCGCATGTGTGTAGCAGATAACCAACAAGCATCCTCCTTTCCATAGTAGAAATGTTCTGACTGATGAGATAGTTACCTCAGACTTTTCACCTTTCCTCTGTATATGATGACAAGGGGGTGTCCTTGAAGCTTTGTAATACATCATCTTTACTCCATATATTCAGAAATAGTCCATGCTATCACCTCAGCAGGATCTCACCTCCCCACTTCTG